GCTTAGAAATGAAGTGTTAACGAGCAGTTGGACAGGTGTACCTAATAAAGTGGCCGGTGAGTGTATATAGTAGGTAAGACATTGACCTAATATTTAATAAGTTATTTGGCTCTTTTAGATGTCTATGTTTAAACAGTAACTATTCTTCTATCCAGCCATCATCTCCACCCACTTGTCCTTCCAGTGTCTCCAGGGCTCAACAGGTTAGGAAAACATTTCCTTGATGAAATACATACCAGAATAGTTGTGGATCTCGTGGGATCTCTGGTACCTACCTGCAGACAATATGCTAGAGTCCAGAGAAGTAGAGAATAGACTGATAGTGGGTTGTGTTTCAGTTAATACTTTCATGAAAACCTGAATGAGTGGAGGGTGAATCCAATCTATGGCCTGAGGTCTCAGCACTTGTGGTTCCCAGTATATCCAAAATCTGACAGCTATGTACAACCTTACGCTTAAGATTTGATGCAGATGGACCAAAGAGTGATGCTGAACCTACATACAATGAAAACATTTTGCTTTGCATTTCTTTTACCCTGATTTACTTTTAAAAGAAGCATGAATTTCTGGAAGTGCAATTATTTTTGTTCTCCAGGCTCCATTTTGATCACCAATTCAGACCCAAAAAATGTTGCAGGTAGATCATTGTTCTCACAGCCATTCAAGCTATTTTGGCTGCGTGACTAAAGCAAAAAAGGATTTTAGAGGAAAATTAAATTGTCATCTAATTTCTTTAAATTAGCTGGTAGAGAACTGCACCAGAATCTGATGCAATCTCCTTAATTTGATAGTTCACATTTATGAAACTGACTCACTTCCCTGTGTGAAGTTTCATATTAGGACTATAGAGACTCATTTCATGTTTGTCCACTAGATGGCGACACTTTTTACCAATTCAAATCAGGCAGGTTATTGTTACGGTAGTTATGGTGGTAAAGTGAAATAAATACGGTAGGTTTCATTATGCAAAAGTTTTTTCAACACTTAATTTGTTTAAAGGGAAAGTATCTTTTCCCAATACTTTCAGGGATTGTTAAATTTGAATCATACTTATTTTTCATAGTGATGTTTTTAAAAGACTAAACATTTTAAAGTGTAAAAACTAACTTTCTCCCTTTTTTGTGTATCTTAGGATTCCAAAATTTATCTTTAGGAGTAACAGATCTGCTGCTAATTGCTTACCAAGAATAGTTTTATATTAGTGTTGCCTTTATATGAGAGATTGGTAGTTTCCACACCAGCCATGTGTTTCACTACCAGAATCATTCTCAAAGAGCAATATTTGTCTTTCTTGTAATCAAAGGTAATGAGCAAGAGTAATAGTCCTCTTTCAGCCAGCTGGCCAGCAGCTTGTAGGGGGAAGGGGCAGTGACTTTTAACCATAGGAACATTTTAATGTTCAGGATTGGCAGCATCATACTATGAGAATGCTCTTCAGACATGATCAAAACATATAAACATAAATCTAATGCTTCTCAAAACTGCATGGTAAAAACGAAAACAATATAACCATAATTTGTTTTCGATAGAAATCCTGTAGTGGCTGAACCTGTCTGCTCTCAGCCAAATCTTTGCCAAGGAAAAAATAAAATAAAACAAAAACGGACACAACTGGACACCAGGATGGAAATAAAGCAAAGTCCTCTAATGTGCCTCTTTATTTAAAGAAAATAAAAACGTCATTTAAATCATCCTCCCAAGGCCCAAACAAGGCTTTTTCGCACCTCCAGTCAGTTCACTCTCTTTCGGGGATAGACGTGTACTGTATCAGAAGAAAAAAAGGCTGATGCTGTTTGTACAAGGAAAAGAGCTCGTCTTGTTGGGTGCTGCTCACACATTCATAGTGCCTGTGCCATTAAAGTATGGCTCCAAAGGACCAAAGAATTACTAATATTGCACGCTCTCATTTATTCATCTCCATCCTAAACATGCTTTCCTATGTGTGTATGTATACATATTTACCGTATACATACATAGGTATGTACACCTAGGCACACACATAATTAAACATGTATAATTGTACATATATATTTATATAGACCTATAAATTTACATGTACATACATTTATAAAATTTTACACGCACGACACGCACTCGCCCTCGCATACGCACACGATGCGTCTGTGAGTCTATGTTTGTCTTATGTACACATGCGCACAGGCACGCACATCAAAACAGATCTCACACACTTCATCTGAAAAAAAAAGGAAATTTGATTTAAAAAAAAATTAAACAAAAGAAACAGAAAAGTAAGTTGGTTCCTATTAAAACAACACCAGGTTGCAATTTGGACACTTTCAATGGATTTTCCAATATTTCTTTAAAGCTGTGAAATTCAAAAAATATATATATTTATATATTTATATAAGGAGAAAAAAAAAGAAAACTAAAACAACATAAAAGAAAAACAAAAAAACAAAAAAAGGCATGGCGCTGCAACATCTGGTCTTCACTGCAGGTAAGTGGTTAATTTGCATAATGTATACAGGTTTTCAGGATTTTTTTTGTCCCTATTTTTTCTCCCCCTCCCCCCATTTTTTTTTTACTAAACAGCATTTCCTTTCTTTTTATAAACCAGAAAAACTAAACTCTACAGAGAAAGTCCCCTACCCGCAGTCTCTTCGCTGCCGATAGAGTTTTTGACATCAAGCTGTACAGCGCAGTCGAAAACATACTTACATCTGAGCTCATTTACAGGTACAGCCATAATCAAGGCACAAAGATCTACAAGTAGATTTGTTTTTCTTTCAATTAAGTTGTACAAAATAATATTACATTTTACAGTCTGTACAGGATAATTCAACCTTGCACAGTGTACAAGTTAACAAAAAAAAAACAACAAATACATTTTTGTTTCCCCTCCCGCCCTCCTCCCGTTCAGTATCTCTAAGCTAGAAAGGGTGGAAAAAAACAAAACAAAAAAACTAAAACAAGAGAAGGACGCCGGTTTGAGTCCGTGGAGGCAGCAGGGCTAAGGTGCAGAGAGCTCAGTCGCCATCGCTTTATTTCCTGCCTCCGTTTCCCCCCATTTATCTCATCTCTCGCTCCACATGTCTCTCGGCTGCTTTGTCCCGCCCTGCGGCTCGGCGAGCCAAAGTTGTGACAGGGCGGGCAATAAATATTATGATGCTACATTGTGTGTGTTTTTCCTCTTTAGAAATCAAATAAACAACAACAAAAAGAACTTGAATTGACTCCTCTCCGTCCTCTCGTCTTCAGGGCGAAGCAAAGAAGGAGGCCGAAGGAGGAGGCGCTGAAGTTATGGCGGTGGTTCATTCCTGCCTCTACACTGAGGTCCCGTCAGTGTTTTTTTTTTTTTTTCTTTTCTTTATGTTTCCACACCCACCAAAGAAGGTCCAAAAATGGTTTTGAAAAAAAATACAGTAAGCGGGGCAAAAATAAAAAAATAATAAATCAGGAGGTAGCCCGAGGCTTAGTGGAATGACAAAAAAAATGAAGGCATTCAAAAAGGAAAGATCCAAAGTAAAATACTCAAGAAGCAGCAAGGTACAACGTTGTTCCCCAAACTTCCAACAAAATCGGATTAAAGGGGAGAAATCAAGAAAGAAATTAAATTAGAAAAAGCCAAAAAAAAATGTTGAAACGTGGAAGAGGATTTGACACACTTCAGTAGTACTTCATATTCCTCGACAGGAGGGGTGATGTTTGTGGGCTTTGGGAGGAGGGGTAGAAAGAGTTCATCAAGAATGCAGAATGGCAGAGAGGAAACACAGAGGGGCCAACAGAGAGAGAGGGGCGTGTCTCTGCTGTCCATCACAAGAGTTCGTACTGCCGCAGGTGCATTCTCTGGATGATGTCCCGGCAGTCGTTGAAGACCCGCCGGATGTTCTCCGTGTCCACGGCGCAGGTGAAGTGCGGGTAGCAGTAGTGTCTGCCGTCGCCGCTCGCAGTGCTGATCCGCTGAGGATGGAGGCAAGAAGAAAAAGTCTTTATTTTGAAAGTATTCTGAAAAAGGATTTTCAGAATAAAAAACCCTCAGATTTATAAAGTAGTTTTTACTGTTATATTTAGTAATATAATTAACAGACAACAGAGTATGACTAAAATATGAACCCTTTGATAATAAATCCTAAAAATCTATCATTCAACATTATAAAGACCAAGAGAGAAATGCCTACAGCAGCAGCTACTGAGGTTCAAAACATATTTTGCCAGAAAAATATGTTTGCATACTTGTATATGTTACCCATTTAGGGCCGTTTTTGGTATATTTGCTGACCTTCTAAGGACCAACAGGCCTTATGGGGACCAACACCTGGTCCTAATGCGGAAGATTGACATTTTTTAGGGTTAGGGTGTGAATTAACTATAGGTTAATGCTAGGATTAGGAATATACTGATAATGGTTAGGGTTAGGCTTAAATGCAGTAACTAAAATGAATGTAAGTCAATGTAGAGTCTCAATAAGGATGAAAATACAAACTTGGGTGTTTGTGTGTGTCCATGTCTTTGTTACCTGGTGGGGACAAATTCCCAAGGGTCATGCTACATTTTGGGGACTTATAGGTGTACTTGTGGGGACTAACGACTGATCCCCATGAGGAGAAGTTCTGTTCTTAGGGTGGGTATAAGGTTTAGAACTAAGGGTTGAATTGAGTTTGGGTTAGGTTTAGGATTAGGTTAGGTTTAGGATTAGGTATGTGTTAGTAAGGGTTAAGGATAGGGCAAGGGTCCCGGTTAGGCCATAGAAATTAGTGGAAAATGAATGGAAGTCAATGGAAGGTCCCCACAAGGATAGTGTGACGTGTGTGTGTCGGAGGGGTTATGAAGTGAAGGGGTGGTTGATAATGAAAAGTCAGAATATATTTATGTGTAAGAACGGTGCAGTCAAAGCTTAGACATGAATACTCTAAGAAAACCTGTGGTTTTAATTAGAGGTATCCTCAAATCTAAGAATGACCTTATAGACTAAAACAATTGGGCAAAAAGTTCACTCTGGTTGAAAGATATCCCAAAATATAAGGAATTTAAGGAAGAACTATAGGACTGTAACAAAACATGGGAAATCTTCAGAGAGGAAAGTGAAAATTTTGCAAAGTCCTTTAAATCAATGAAAATCCAAACTTTTCTTTCATTCTAACAATCGGATTCTCCAAAGATTGAATTTAATTGTGACCAAAACAAATCTTGATATTCTTTTTTTAGATCTGCGTGTGTCTAAATTTAGCTATAGTCACCAGGAACATGGTTAATATGAGTCAGGCACTGACCAAACAAGCATTTTTAAAGCAGGGTTAGTCATCATTAAGCTGCAGTCGTCTTATTCTAATATGAAAGAAAATCACTGAGGCATTGAACAAACCACAAAGGGACAAAATGGAAACCCTGCTTTGCAAAAATCAAAAATAGAAACAGTCTTTCATAAATAAATGCCCAATCTTCCCAGTAAGGTTCTTAGAAAAAATAAAACTAAACAAACAATACAGATAATGATCCTATCTGGGTCTCAGTGATTAGCTGGAACCATGGAAACTCTGTCAACATCTACATTACAGATTTATTTACAGAGAGAGATCAGAGAAAAGCTATTTCTCTGGGAATAAGGCACCCCGGGGGGTCATTAGGGGGTTAAATTTGGCATGTTCACATGCAGGTGTCGCACTTACAAGGAACTCGTCGCGGATGAAGAATTTGGCTCGCGTCACTCTCGGGTCTTCGCCTGGTTCAGGAGTTGCTGAAAGAACAACAGAGGTTCCTTTTAAAAAAAAGCGAGGCTAAACGTTTATTGGCATCATGAGTGAGCGCGGCGGGCCGCAGACCTTCATTTGGTATGGTGTAGCGGGCGTATTCGGGAAAATATTCCTCAATTTTGGATTTTCCAGCTAATACTTTCTCAGCCAGCATGTCCTGCTTGTTCAGGAATAAAATGACCGATATAGTACGTAACCACCTGAAAAACAAACAACAGCAGCTTTTATTTTTTTCACAGAATTTCCACAGAAAAAGGAGAATAAAAATACCAGCAATCAATTCATCAATCAGATTCTTCTTTTAATTAGGTTAGAGGAAAAAAAAAAGCTTTACTAAACATTCTATAAAAGAAAAATGCATCTATCCTGTTTTTGCAAAAACTTTGATGTTTTTCTTAATTCTAAAACCTCAAAACAGAAATAAAATGGATGTTCTTCAGAAATTAAATCACGTCTCCTACAGTATATAATTATAAAATAATGAGAAGTTGTCTTTTTTTCCCAAAGGTTCATAGTTTTCAGCTATTCAAGGTTGCATGAATTATTCAGATGAGTTTAAAATGACAAATAAAGGAACTCATGACAATACTTTCTCAAAGCCAACTATATTTCATATTGCTTTATCTCACAGCTGTTTTCATTTAGTCAATATACATTTGTTAGGCAGCCACAGCGCTCACTTTGATAGTATCTTTTAAAGTTAGAGATATTTTTCTACAGATTTGGCGACGTCATTACAAAAGTAGAGGAAGAACTTCCATCACTGCTGTGGGTAGATCTATAAAATGTGGCTGTTTAGAAGTGAAACATGTCTGTAATGTTATTATAAACCAAAAAAACCACAACTGTGTGTAACGGATTACAGTAACGGGGATATGAGGCAGAGGAGACACAGATTTCCGTCTCACCTGTTGTTCCAAATACTGCGGAAGAGGTCCAGTGCTTCCCGTAGTCTGTTGGTGTTATTGTCTTCCCTTATTACCATGTTGTAGCTGCTGCTGGCCACCACAAAGATGATAGCAGTGACGTCTGGAAGGACAGAGATTCACAGTCAGCAAAAATGTTGCAGTAAAGTAGAATTAATATTTTAACAGATGGTGGGACTGTCTCACCGTTAAAGCACTGAATCCATTTTCTCCTTTCATCTCTCTGACCGCCAACATCGAACATGCTGTGGACCAAATCAAAACATGGGTCAGGCTCTGGGATAAAACACCTTTGAAACATTCAATAACTGACTTTAAAAAAGAAACAACAACAAACAATATATGAGGATTAGTACAACTCTTTAAAATTAAAATGATAGACAAACCCTGATGCTAAAGTTGAACTAAGTGCAAATATTTTAGAGGAAGGAGGGAAGGATGAATAAATGGAGGTATGAATGACAGACGGACAAACCCACAGATAAATGCATTGGAGGGCGGATGACAAGATGGATGGACAAAAATGAATATTAAAAAAAAGGAGTGATGGACAAAAAATGGAAGAATAGATAAAATGTATTTTAATGATGGAATAAAAAGTATGATGGCTGTATGGAAAGTTGAAAAGATGGATAAAAGGATGGATGGGTAACTGATGGAAGATTTATACAATGGGACATTTGTTCTTATACTGTCATTTCCTATCCTTGCTTTACAAAGAACAGCCTGAATGAGTTCAACAAATATATACATTTACTACCTAAACCACATTTTTGATTCTTTGTGGACTAATTTTGGCATAAAAAAACAAACAAAACATTGCAACATGGAAAGGCGTTGCTTTAATGAGTTAAGGTCTCTGCTTTCTACAATGGTGAGTTGTATATTTTGTTTTTGTAACGATTATCTTGCCATGTAAAGTAGACATTATCTGACAGGATCCAGTGTTTAGGCTATCAGCTGGTCTTACAACCATCATGCTGCTCAAAAAGAAATAATAATCATACAGGATTACATTACAGTCGCTCAGCTTCCGGCAGGTCGGGGTCCATTTTTGTATTCCCTTTTATCCCTTTCAACATACAAAATGATGTTGGAAGGAACAAACTTATGACATTTCAGGCCTTAAATCACAAGGATAAGGTAAATATAGTGTTGACGCCCAGGAGGGCATTCCGATCTGTGATTATCCTTCTATGGTAGTGCCAAAACGGGACCGGGTCAAACACTTCTAAAAGAAGCAGATTACTGGAAAACGCCTCGAGAGCCTCCGTTTTTAAAACTGGGTGACGAAGATCTGGAAAGCTGCTGCATAACAGAGAACGTAAGTGCGGATGTGGAAATAAGAAGAACAATGCATCCTTTTAGCAGGACAGAAATATTTGGCTTATAAAAGTGGCAGAAATAAGCTGGAACCACAAAATTATGATAACTTCAAGATGCTTTTGGTTGTTCATTATGTTTGCCTCTTTCAAATATATATTAGTCTCTTCTTCTAACCCCCCCCCCGCCCAGCACGACTTACTGAAAGTTGACTTTGTCTACTTGAAACCTCGTCTCAAAAATCCCTGAAGTTAACACTCTGCAGCGTAGAAGATCCTGCAATCAGAGACAAAAATGAAGGATCAGTTGTGCAGAAAAAAAAAAGAGCCTGTTATTTGAGCAGGTCAGCAGGTTAACTGACCTGGTCTGTTGGCGTGTAGTCACTTTGTCTTACAGAGTCAATTCTGTCCAGGAAACTGAAAAAAAGCAGAAAAAACATCAATTTTGTATTCATTCTGCAAAACAGAACTTGATGAATAGAGAAAAACAAGTCACACATGAGTTCCAAACACAAATTTTTCATAAACAAATAAAAGAGAAAAAAAAAAGCAGATATATTTTAGCTCATTTCCAGGATTGCTATTCTTATTCCAAAGGGAGCAGCCTCTCTGACTCCCTGCAGAGGCCTGGGGAGGCCGCTGTTGTTGCAGCTGCAAGCCACTAGAGGGCAGACATGCTCAGTCTGGGCTATTTTGGTCTGTCTCTAGCCAGAGTGATTGCATAAGGCGGTTATTGTGGAGGTTAGACAGCTTGCTGCTGCCTTCTCTTTAACAACAGAGAGAGCATGTGCAGCAGCAGAGGAGGAAGCAGCAGCAGCTGGGCCTCTGAGCAGCACAGCGGGCGAGCTCGGGACAACCGCGGCCCGGAACACACAGCCGCACAGGCCTCTGGATGACCTGGATCACCCAGAGAAAAGACTTCCAACAGGGGGCTCCAAGATACCCTTACACAGAGACAGCCTCTTGCAAAATGATTCATACCCATCATACTTTTTATACTTTGACTTACTACAGCCTAAACTATTTCCTGTATTGTACAGGGCTTAATGTGATAGACCGACACAAAGTAGATCACAATCAAAGTGAAATGAAAAGAATTCACAAATTATAAAAGTAATTAAGGCCTGCAATTAACTATTGCTTTGCAAAACAATTAATCTGTCAAGAATGTATTTTTATTAATTGATTTATAATCAGATAGCCTAAGGTTTTTTACGAAATTAAACCCGGTGAAACTAAAACTTTTCAACTACAGGAGGTCTGGATAGAGCATATTGACAGACGAAAAGGTTTTTTTTTTTATCTTAAATGCAAAATGTTTACATATTTTTCTTTTTTTTATATAATTACTTCTCTAAGTGGGTCGCACTGTTAGCCAAAGGCTTGTTTTACAGTCTTTACACTTATTAACAATTAAATAATTACTGAATTAGTTGGCAATCATTGAAATAATCGATTAATCCCGATAAATCTTATTAATTGTTTCAGTCCTAATTTAAATTTTATCCGAAAAATTGTTTCAGCTCTTAAGAAATTAGAAATAAAAAATTATTTTAGTGTGGTATAAATTTTTATCTGGTTAAATGATCTATAGAACAGTCTTCTGCAAAATGCATGTGTTTTTAGTCATGAAGATTTGGCCAGGGAGTCTACACACTAACATCCTACTACAGATTCTGTTATCAGATTTAGGCCTGAGGTTTGACTGGGGCATTTCTCTGACCTAACAGGTTTACCTGCAGCTTCCCTGTCCTAACAGAAGTACAGCATCCCCACAGCATGACGCGGCCACCAGCATTTTTCACAGTAGAAAAGGTGCATTTACCGAGATGTCCACTGGTAATTAGTCTAAGAAAAGATCAATTCTGGTCTCATCTGCACAAAGCACTGTATCCTGGTTTTTGCAGTGTCCTCACTGGCTTGTAGTAAACTATAAAATGCAAATTCTTATAACTCAACAAAAGACTGGAGTCATATTCATCTGGGTTGATCTCATATTGATTTCCTTGCCCGTTTAGGTTTACGTGGAGGGTCTTGTCTTGGCACAATAGGTTTACTTATCTCAGAAAAGGTGAACAGAACTAGCTCCTTAAGATGTTCAAAACTTGCTATACTGTTTTCTAGCCTAACCGGGCTCTAAACCTCTCTACAAGTTTCTCCCTGACCTGACTGCTGGGTTCCTTGGTCTACAAGTTAACTAATGTTTTCTAATAAACATCTGAGACCCTTACAGAACCGCTGGATTGATACTCAGATTAAATTACACAAAAGTGTTTTCTGTTTAGCAATTAACAGGCAACACATTTTATTTATTTTAGGGTATGAGACATAAGGGGGCTGAATACCAGACCTATGCTGCATTTTTTAGATTTTATTTTTTTTGTAAAAGCAGGAAAAATCCAAAGTTCTCCTAAATTTGAAATTGTACCTTCCGATATAAACAGGGTATGAAGGCACTGTTTAAATCTAACAACCTTTACATATATTTAAATTAGAGTCTCTGTGCCCTTTAGAAAGAAGAGGTCAAGAAAAGATAAAAGAACCAAATGTACCTAAAAACACATAAAAATCACTGAACAGAGTTTACCTGTTATTCTTAATCTATTGAAGGTAATCAGTTTTAGGCTTAAAGTGCAGAATCGCCATATATTAAGAAAATATTCCCATTATTTTATCAACAATATATAATGAACTTCCTTCCTTTTATGGACGGATCTACTTAATAAAAAGGTCAGTTTAGATTTTGGAATCTTAGGATGATGTTAAATGACAGAGATAAATAGCTATGTCCTTAAGTCAAAATAAAATAATAGTGAACAGTGCAAAAGGCAAAAACCTCAGAGTAACAGATGAAAAGACAATTTTTCCATCAACTTAAAGGAGATACAGGTAGGTCAGAGACATGATTTCGGAAATGAAACTGCATTCAGCTGATTCTGGTGTCTTCTCCAGTAAGGCTGACCCAGATGTGGCCCAAACGGGGCCATCTCCTCACCATCTTTGATTCTCTAACCAACCCATCTGCAGTTTCAGTATGTCACCAGTCAGACAGGCGCTCAGATGGCGCGGCTGCAGCATACAGGAAACCTGATGCGCCGTTCTCGCTCCGCTGTAGGTTTCCGTCAGGACGTCTGTCTCTTCATTTTCACTTTGGGCGCCTAAAAGCAGCACACCAACACGCCCAACAAGGATTAAATAACCGAGAATGAATGGCGCATTATGAGCCATTAGATAACAGCCGCGCTGCTCATGTGCTCTGACAATAACGTTTTCATCACACGGACTATTTCTGCTGCAGACGAAAGAAGGAGCAGGACTATTTCTAACAGGCCACCAAAATGTTCTCCCCTAAATTGTACCACTAAAAGTTGTAAAACTTGTGCAAAAAGCTCAGAAAAAAAGACTTTTGCACCTAAAACAAATAAGCTAATTTAAATAGTTGTCTACATCTAAAGATTTACATCATACAACAGGACATATAATAAATTTTGACTGCTTTTAAACTTCACTATTATGTTTTTTTTTTTATAATTTATTCATTCCGAACATTTGGGAAAACAAATCTGACTACTTTGAATTTTCCTATTATCATAACAAGTTCAATCTATACACATATATGGTCAAATGTATAGATACTATATTAAAACTGTGAATATTACATTAGTCTTAATGGCCGCACTGGTGAAGCTCATTTAAACTGGCTGGCTTTGCTTTAAAAGCAACTTCCACAAACTTTTAATGGAATCTCAGGTTGATGGTAAGTGTGGTGTTGAATCCAATAAACCAGTTTCATTACGTGTTTGGGATCACTGTCCGTCTGAGACACCATTTTTTGTCCAAGTCCATCAAGATGAGAAAAGAATTAATAGAGCACAGAGCCAGGTTTCCATCACAATATCATCCAGTTATATAGGAAATATAAAAGGGCATCTCATGAGATCATAGAACAATGTAAAAGGAGAATCAACAAAAAAAAATTAATCCAATTTCAATAAAGATGCCATGTAAAGAAAATATCTTTAATATAAGAAAGGAAAATGAAATCTTTACTGGCATTACAGCACAGAACCCATCTTATAACTGGTGGAAAGCCCTTTGCATATTCCCACTGGAGTTGCAACAAAGTCTCTGGTAATGAGCTCAAAGTCTTGGAGGCTGCAAAAAGTCAATATCACTTCCATTTGCAAAAAATAAAAAAACAAACATTAAAAAACACAAACAAACCTGTCAGTAAAGTAAAAAGATATACCATAGAAGGTATGAATAATTTTTGACTATTTTGTAAAAGCACAATCTTTGGCAAAGTTGGGGTTCACAGATGCGCTGAATACAATCAAATACAGTTTATGGTTTTGTTGCAAAGAATGTGCAGAGAAGATGCGAAAAGCTGTTTATTTTATTACATCATCTATTCTTTTTCTTCTAAAAAAAGTAATTTCTTCTGCAAAAAGTATTAAAATTATTATATTTAGATATCTTTGTTTATCTTTATTTATCTTTACTACAAAAATAAATATATACCATCTCACTTCCTCACACCAAGTGTGCGAACCACTGCTCTGTTAGCAATGAATGGGGACAGATAAGTATTCCTGTTGACAGCGCAGAAAAATAGTGTTGGGGACGGTATTATACTAAAGAAATATTAAGCAATTTGTTTGATTTGTTAGTTTGCTGGATAGGTTCTTGATAGACTGTCAGGAGAAATTAAGAAATCCACCTTAAATGTAAGTAATGCTGTGACTTCTGCCTGTGATTTCACCGATAAAACATTAGGCATCTAGATTTTCATTATGCAAGCCAAAACAGACATTGGAAAACTGACTAGATGAGCAGCAGATCACTCGTCTGTCAGATGACAAAAAAAGCTCTGTTTGGACTTTAAAACTGGCTAAATGTGATATTTTTAAACACTAGAAAAAAAAATAAAAGCCTGATCAGAAGCTTAATCAGAAAGTTTCCAATTATGTTGAAACTTAGAGAAAATATACATGTTTCTTTACCTTCAAGTCTTAAATCTTAAACAGGGTTTATAAGATGATACTAAATGCATCTGATCACAAACAAGTTCTCACAGATACTGTGGGTCACACATGCTAATTTCTCCTGACCTGACCCCTCTTCCCCCAAAACGACAACAGAAAGACCAACAGATCCACTCAAAAAAGCCCATCAAATCCAGCACAAAAAATGTATTTAGTATTTTTAGTCTTCCTTGCAGAAACATAGCTAGGTTATAATTACAGAGTGCTTTGTGACTGCCATGTGACAGCGGTACTAGATATCCAAATATAATCTCCATCAAGTGGAGAAGAAAAAAAAAATCCAGAACAGGAGACCAGAACCATGAAAAAAAGAAAAAAAAAAAAAGAGGAAAAGTTAGTGTTGAACCATGGGTGGTGCAGATAATTTGCTCT